CAGATAAGAAAGAGGAGAAAGCTGAAAAAGTTCAGAAATCAAGTGATCAAATATTAAAGTCAGCTGAAGAAGTACAGTCCCATCGAACCCTAAACACAGAATCAAACCTTGTTGAAACATCTAATGCCAAAGCTGCTCAAGCAGCAGYACAGCCAACACAGCAAGAATCAGGGCGGTTCTTCGGCTTTGGTAGTCCGAAATCTCAGCATGTTGACTCAAAAACAACTGACGCAGTGACTGGGAAGATGATGGGATTTGGTTCCTCCCTTTTCAGCTCAGCATCCTCTTTGATAACATTGGCAGTTCAGGAGGACTCCCACACAACACAGCAAACTTCTCAAGGATCTCTGAAGTCCAGCCCGCCAGTTTCTCCAAAGATGACTTCAAAAAAAGAGGCCCAACCTCCTGCTGCTCCCAAACAACACCTGGAAAAGACATCAGACCAGGCTCCTCCATCAGGACCGACCACAGTGGACAAAGGTCCATCAGAGCCTGTAAAACCAGAAGCCTCCCAAGCTTCTATGACAGTAGGCCAGTTTTGTCCACTCTGTAAAGCAGAACTTAACATTGGCTCCAAGGATCTACCCAACTACAACACCTGCACTGAATGCGAAAGCAATGTTTGCAACAAATGTGGATTTAGTCCTATGACAAATATAACAGAGGCAAGTAAATTACTAAATACTAAATACTTTACTTCATGTATAATTCATTGCAATCATTTAACATTTTTCAGTGAAATCTTATGTTCTACTTTCGTACACTGGATTTTCATTTACAGCTTTTATTTTTGGTGCATTTTTAAAGAATTTTTTTTATTTGTGAACTACTCTTCCTTGTTCTGGTGTCTTTTGTTGGAATATAGTTATTGTTCTTATAAAATCTGTTGTTGTCGCTTCCAGGATCTATTGTGAACCAATAGTTAGGGAATATGTCATAAACAAATACAAAGAATATCACTCATGTTTTTTGCTTTGTTCTAGGTGAAGGAATGGCTTTGTCTCAACTGCCAGATGCGGAGAGCACTTGGAGCTTCTGAACCTCCAGGGCTTCCAATGATAAAACCCCAACTTTCACCAAGCAGAGACCTATCTGCAACCCCCCAGAAGACAGAAATCCCAACACCAGCTTCTCATGAAGACATCCCTAAACCTTCCATACCCAAAAATGAGCTTGTTAATGTTGTCACTACCAAAGAAATTGAATCCCCGGCTCTGGGTGGTCCAACAAAGAAAATTGCCCCTGAAGCTGCTCCAACAATCACAAAGACTGGAGAAACATCAAAAGAACAGCCTGGTAAAGCCCAGCAGCAGCCAGCAAAAGCTGTGACTTCTACTACTAAATCTGCTCCTCCACCAGATAGAGAGTCAGGAAAACCTCCTCCACAGCCTCTAAAAGCTGGGACTTCTCCAGCCAAATCTGTACCTCCAACAGCTCAGCCTGCAAAACAGGAGTCAGGAGGCTTCTTCGGGTTTGGTGGTCCTAAAACACAGCCTGCCGCAGCGAAACCTGCTGACTCAGTAGCAGGAAAAATGTTTGGTTTTGGGTCATCTTTCTTAAGCTCTGCATCCACTTTAATAACATCGGCTGTCCAGGATGAACCTAAAACTACACCACCAACACCACGTAAGATGTCGACTGCAGCCCCTGTCTCTCCTAAAATTACACCACCACCCTCTCCTAAAATGCCACCTGCAAAAGACACCAAGCCATCTGCTGTCCAGAAAACGGATGAGAAGAAACCAGAGAAACCACTGCAGGAAAAGACAATACAAGTCAAAGTGGATAAAACTCAATCTGTGCCCCCCAAGGCACCAGTAGACACCCAAGGTGCTCCAAAAGCAGATAAGTCCCTATGTCCACTGTGTAAGGTCGAACTCAACATGGGCTCCAAAGATCCTTCCAACTACAACACATGCACAGAATGCAAGATGATAGCCTGCAACCAATGTGGATTCAATCCAATGCCAAATATGGCAGAGGTAATGCACATCCCCACAATTGCCTTTGCTTTCATTTGACTTGCCATTAGCTTTGAAAAGGAAGCAAAGAAAATATTAATTCACAACAAAAATAGTAATATTGACAGAATCCATAGTTTTCATACAGCAGATTTATTCTGTATTTCTATCTGATATCATTTCCACAAGACCCACATTACACAATTTTTTAAAAGTGGGCTTGATAATATAACATGTGAGCATACACTCAAAGTCATCAGGGATTAAATCACTGTAATTTTTTCCTGTAAGATATTTGCTCTAGACAAATCAGTCTATCAATACTGTTTGTTGTCATGTGTTTTTCATCAGTTTTGTATACATTTCTTTTTAGGTACAGGAATGGCTTTGTCTGAACTGCCAGATGCAGAGAGCCCTAAGAATATCTGAGCCCACTGGACCTCCTGTAGCTAAACCACAGCCCTCCCCAAGTAAGGTTTCTACACCTCCTTTGTCTGAACACAAGACTGTGCCAACATTAGAACAGAAGGAGAAATCCACTGAATCAGCAGTCAAAAAAGAAGTCACTCAAACAACTCCACAAAAGAAAGAAGCCCCAAAAGCTGAGGCCCCCCTGCAACCTGCAGTCCAAACAAACACCTCACAGCGAGGTGTTATGCCAAAGACACAGGTGGTTTCAGGTACTGAACAAGGACAGGGCAAGAATTTTGCTGTTCAACTGCCGCCTGTTGAAAAAGCCCAACAAGTAGAGCTTTCTCAAATTACAAAACCAGAGGCAAAGGCAGGTTTTGCAAAGCAAGAAGTTGTGAAACCACCACAACAGCCATCAAAGTCTGTGAACCCTCCTGTGAAATCTGCAGCACCACCAGCCCCGCCTGCTAAACAGGAGTCAGGAGGTTTCTTTGGCTTTGGTGGTCCTAAAACACAACCTGCTGCTGCAAAGTCTGCTGAGTCAGTCACTGGGAAGATGTTTGGCTTTGGCTCCTCTATCTTCAGCTCTGCATCTACACTGATAACCTCAGCTGTTCAGGAGGAACCTAAAACTACACCACCTACTCCACGTAAGATGTCCATGACAGCCCCTGTCTCTCCTAAAGCTACACCTCCAGTTTCTCCAAAAATGCCTCCTGCAAAGGAGACCAAACCACCTGCTGTACAAAAATCAGAGCCACTTCAGCAGACCAAGTTCACTCAACCAGCACAGGCAGAAGTAGAAAAAGCTCCACCAATGCCCGCAAAGTCTAAAGAAGTTACCCAAGTTGCTCCTAAGACAGAATTGTCTACCTGTCCACTCTGTAAGGTTGAACTCAACAAAGGATCGAACAATCCCCCGAATTACAACACCTGCACCGAATGCAAGAGCTTGGTGTGCAACCTTTGTGGATTTAACCCCATGCCTCATACAGCAGCGGTAAGAGCAAGTATCAGTTTATTATACTTTATGTCCTGCTCATGTTTTAACATCATCCAGAGATTAAGCATAACATGTTTTACATTGTACTATACATCGTATAGCAAATATATTCAAGTTTACAATGCAGGGAGCATACAGCACCATTTTGACATGGAAAGTTTGGAGATTTAGTATTGGTCATGAGAGGAAAAGATCATTTAACTAGGCAAGAGCAATATTATTATTCTAGCTGTTAATTGTGAATTCCTATGCAATCAAACACACCATCTTTTCAGCTGGAGTATGTATGCTTCAATTTTTCTTTTTAGTTCTCTGTCTTTTTTGCTTGTCTTTTTAATACTGTGGAATAATCCTCTGCAGTGTAAAGGATGAAAAAATAAGCTTGGTATTCTGGCTTAAGACATAGCTCTCAATTGGCAAATTGTTGCTCCATTGTTGATTTGATTTTCTTGATAAAAGAATATGAATTATATTTGTTGTTAAATGCCAGATGATGGTGTGACAGACCAGGAGAACTTGAATGATTTTCTTTGACCTTGACTTTAAACAGTGTTTAGTGTGTTTTAGTTATTGTTATGTGTTTTAATAATTGGCCTACTTTGAGAGACTTAAATACAATTAAAAAACATAATACAATGCAGGCTACATGGTAGCTGACTGTTTTGGCTATCTATCCAATCAAGTGGGCAGAATTATTACATAACGGCTCATGAGAGTGTTGCTCCAGCAGACCAGCAGTACTGGAAATGTATTAAAGTGATTGAGCGTTGTGCAACAGCATTAGTGGAATGGGATCTGCTGCTGTAGCAGGCCAGGGACCAGGGAATCTCTATTCCCAGTGTGAGGTCTTAGATGGCAAAGCCCTGTGATATGCCAATGAAGTGAAGGGAAATGGATTATGTCCAACATAACACGGTGGAGTACATTAGAGCAGCAGACATTGCCTTCCAAACCATCTGCTAACTAACAGTGCAGCTTCATGTCCTTCAACAATTTCCCCTTATATTATGTAGGTGGTAGTAAAACTGATGTGTACTTGCTTTGTGAGTAACCCACGTGAGTCATTGGTGAATGCAATGGTGTGGCATTTAAGATCCTATATGTATGGTGCACTGATATGTCCATCACCTTTTTGCCCAAACAGCATGTAGGCCATAACAGTTAATCTTTTTGTTCAGATCAGTTAAGGACAATTTGAAAATATTTAGGGTTTTTCATTAATGATTATTTCAATGGGCAGTATAAATGAGTTAAAATGATAGAACACTGAGCTGCAAGAATTAAACTGCAATTGTGGCCCCTCATAGATGTTGAATGCTCTGATTGGAGGTCGCTTTGGATAAAAGCTTCGGCTAAAAGCTTCGGCTAAATGACATGTAATGTTATTGGATCATGTACCATGTCAGACAACAGTGTTAGTCATTTCACTTGACCTTTTCAAATAACATTATATTTCATGGCCATGCTTTCCTAACACTAGAGCAACATATTTTGTTCATCAGAAAAAGGCATAACAGATGTATTTGTTTAAGTCTTGCATTCTGGGAAAGACTAAGTATTTTATGCCTGACAGTTGCATGATAATGGAGGACAGTGTTTTTGCATTCAGTTGACTGTTAGAAAGGGAATGTGAGCACTATTTTTCCCTCATTTTTTAATTTATGCTTTCAGTTTTCCAGTCACACTTACGTAATTGACACTTCTCACATCTTCTTTCTTTTTCGTGGATACCACCACAGGCGAAAGAGCCTGAGGGTAGAGGTTTGATGGGGGAAGGGACAAGCATGGATGATTGCTGCTGTGTGTACAACATGGATTCTTTTCTCGTAAAAACAATTGAGGCAAACAGAAATAGCTCGGCCTTAATGCAACCGGATAGGAAGAGCCACCGTACTTATTGATGTCCTACAACATTCATTTTCCAAAAGGGCCGTGGTTGCCAGTTCTCTACTATGAATGCATGTAGGTTTGTTTTTAGCAGAATGGCAGAAATGACCCCTTTTAAAATATTAAAAGGACTTGTTAGGTTTGAAAGAAGAGTAGGCCACTTTAGGAAAAGTGACTGCTTGCAGCAATTCTATCCATTTTTCCTTTTGCCTGCTCTGCTTCAGCTGATGCCATCAAAAGCCTGGGAGTGACTGTTGTCTGATAAGTAGGGCACACGTGTTTTGTGCTTTGCCAGCTAAAGCTTTGTGTGTGACCTCGGAGACAATATGAATGACGTTGCCTCTGGTTTTTTTTTTTATTGATTTATTTTTTGCTTAGGCTTTCTGTGACAAAGCAATAGTCGAGTGTTTATATTTCCTCATATTTTGCCCTAAAATATTAGTCTATTATAAGCTCCATTGGATACAGTGTGCATACCAATCAAAGGCAAAAACTACTGTAGATATTTTGCAAAGCTTCCACAAGAGACAGACGCTTGACTAGATGCATCATGTCTGATTGGCAAGCAGAAAATATCCTTAAACTTGCAACATGACTCATTTCAAACATTTGAATCAGCCCTAATGTTTCCATCTCTTTTCTTCTGTACATCAAGCAACTACAAACTGTTGACACCCCTTGGTGCAACCTAGTGCAGTAAAAAATACTAATTCTGAGACCAAGCACACTGTACCTGCTGCATCTTTTCACAGCCACTTTTAATGTACAATAAGGATAACAGTGCTAAAACTGATGATATGCTTTGGTCTTGATGCTGTGTTTAAAACATTGACATTTTCATACCAGAGTGAATAATGGAAGTATTCCTGCATTTATTTATTTCCATTGCTCTCAGTTCTTACTCAGCACATATTATTGCATTACTCTACTTTGCTTTTTTACTCTACGGGATATAGTATGTTTTGATGTGTAATGACATTTTGAAGGCTATGACACTTATCCTTCAAGCTCCAATGATCTCCCTGGATACGAGTAGCTATTTGATACATTGTGTGGTTTGTTGTCAGAGAAGGAATAGGACCTCCCTTAAAGGTCCAGTGTGTAAGATTTAGGTGAAAGGGAACTATTGGCCGAAATTTAATGTAGAATAATCCTCATGATGTTTTCACTAGTTCATTTCATCTAAATTGTATAAATTTAGGCCCTTTATATTTAAAGACTTTATATTTACATCGAGGGGACCCTCTCTAGAGAGGCCGCCATGCTTTTTACATTAGTCCAGACTGGACAAACTAAACATCTTTTGAGTTACCACAGGTTCTTTTTCATGTTTGGAAGGAGAGGGTGAGGTGAGGGCTGTTTAGCTGCATCATGCAGTTTCAACACTAGATATCACAAAATTCTACACACTGTACCTTTAAGAGGTTCAGCTTTGTTTACACCTCCCTGTGTCTTCCATATTCTGTCTGCTTTCCATTAATACCACACCCTCGCACTCTCTCTTCTTACCCAAACTTTGCCCACTGCACTCTGCCATCAAATAAAAGTTTGCTAATGCACCGTTTGTCAGATTGGAAAAAGCAGGGGGCTGTATTTCCTTGTCTTTAGAAAGGAGCACTCTGCTTATTACAAATTAGTAGGTCAACATTCTCTATTATCAGGGGGCTTGATTTATGAAGAGTTCTGCTCTGTAGGGGCTGCTGAAAGCCAAGTAGATTAGCCAGCTACAGCTTGTGCCAGAAGCATCTGCCAGAAAATCAATAAGAAACTGACTAGCTCCCGTATCAACAGTAGGAAAGCACAGAAGAAGGGCTGATAAATTGTGATGCTGCAGGCCACAGCCAAAAGGTCACCCCTTCAGTCTAGCTATCATAAAATGTAAATTACAGGACCAGTCGCAACCCAGAGACTGGTGTCGCATTAGAAACACAGTTTTGTACAAATACTCGACAAATTACTGGTTTGATCAATTTGTGGGGAAATGACGGGTCTGATAAGAATGACATGTCTTTGTGGAACCACATACCTGTCATCCATAATGCATGGTGAGGTGTACCAAATGCTAATATAAACATTTGAACAAATTTGATGGAAGTAATAAAATAAAATATTTAGGCATCATAAAAAGTTTTAATGAAATTTGTGCCCTGCGTTGGTTCCTTTCTTGCACAAATGCATAAATGTTGCATCAATGAAAGAATGTCTTTTGCTGCGAACAAAGAACAAAGTGAACATGGATTTTTTTTTCATAAAGCTTAGCAGATGCAGCATGCCTGTGTATCAAGAGTGTAATTTTCTTGACTGCTGTCATTGTGAAGGTCTAGTAATCCAGCTCACAGGCTAATCATGGGGAGCAGCCGCTCCCACAGCTCTCTGCTTGGAGCTCCTGCTCTTTAGTCATAAAACAGATTTAATTAGACAAAAGGTTGATGGCCATTCTCCAAACCCTGTGGCTCTGATGCATGGCTCTGAGACTGTTTGGCTGTGAGGTAGTGCTGAAAGAGGCTCTGATGGGATTAGGCCATTTTGATGACTGGGATTTTTTTTTCTACAGCTTGGTTAAGAATGAACACATTGAATAAGTTATCAGATACAAAACAGTGTAAATGCAACATGCATTTGCATACTACTTTGACTCTGTCCATCTGTTCATAGCTTGGGTTGAAAAAAGTCTATTCTGCAGAGACAAGGACCTGCTCAGTACCAGTCACTGGAGAGGTGTGAGGGGCAGGCCCATAATGAGATTGCAGGAGATAATAGACCAGCAAAAACATTCAGTAATAGACTGGCACAGCTCATCAATCTGTGAACAATGTCGTTTGTCGTTCTCTATCAGTATTTATTCTTTCAAACAAGATTTTTTGATAATCTTGCAACTTCTGTGCAACCTGAGAATTTTTAAAGTGTTGATTCTATTGTGCAGTTATCTTCAATGTCTGAAACGTATCTTTTTGGAAAAGGACTATGGCACATGTTAAAACATGATACTGTAGCTATGTTTGTTCAAACATAATTCACTATGACGAATTAGAAATTAAAGGATCTGATTGTAATCCAAGTATATTTCTATCTAAAATGGAGCAACTAGCTGTTAAATGAGTGCTGTTTTCATTTTGTCCAGCTTTGGATTTCATATGCAAAGACAGGATATATTTTTAAACCACCTTTCCTACAATATGGCAATCTCTTTACAATCAATTTATTTTCCTTTTAATAGTTATAAAGATAGCATCACTTCATTTGAGATGACTCTGATAAGGCCACTGTGCTGGCAATATGAGATGATGAGAAAAATGAGCAAGCGCTGGAGTATGTGATTACTGATATAACACGTGATAAGCGTTTGTCAGTGGCCTTGGTAGTGACTTGATTTTGCAGATTATCATATGTATGCACAGGAGCACCTTGTTAGCTGGGATTACATCCTGCAAGCATGGCAGAGGAGGAGGACAAGAAGTGTGGGAATTAATAACTTTGACGAATGTTAAAAGCAGAATTCTGGGACTTAATAATCTGCACCATTATATAAACTATTTATTTTCAGAATTCTATTTCTGTAATGAACAGGAGCATCATTCATTTTTTACAGTGAAAAATAATTGACCTTCTTGGAGATTTAGCTTCACTGTAAACCCATGTAAAATATCAGTGGGGCTAAGCTTGCATCAGATCACAGGGAATGGAGGGTTAAATAGTTAATTGGTTTACACGCTTATCAGCACCATGCACTATGCTGGTGAGGCTTTGTTTACTACTGCGGGGAATAAGCAGGATTATTATATTCCTGACTAAACCACAACTGACAAAAAAAATAGATCTTAGTATCTGTCAAACTACGAGCATCAGTTTTCTTAAGTTAAGCAGACACACACACACACACACACACACAC